GTGTTAAATAGTGAGGGAGTGATATGAAACAGCTGGGTGCAATCAGTGTTGTGTGCAATTAGTGAACCAGCTGTGTGCAATCAGTGCTGTGAATGATGGGATATGTAGTCCAGGATGATGCAACAGTGTGAGCGCGAGCGTCAATGAAAATGGGAAGGGTGACCTCTGATGGTTAGCCGACGGAAGTTCATGGACCGGATTCGTGACAGTATATATATATATATATATATGTAAGGGACAATCAACAGTTTGCTGTGCATTAAAAGATTTTAAATGCACATCGTGGAGGCCAAGTTATAGACAAGTTAAAAGTAGTATTGCTCTTTGCAGTACAATATTTGACTGAATGGGTAAAAATGAGTTATTTTCCTCAGTTACGGTTCGTTAGCTCTAGCATTCTGCCTGCTTCAAATCAGACACAGAGATGAAGTAGTGCTGTAAGATCACATTTATTTGAATGAATTATAGCATTTATTTCAATTAATTATCGACCGAGAGAGAGAGAAAGAAAGAGAGAGAGAGAGATGACAGTTGTGTGTGCTTTACCTGCGTCTGCGTGTCTCTCTACAAACAATTGATTACTTCAAAAACAGCGATTTTACCACCTCGTTGCTGAGGAGTATAATATAGCGATCTAGTATCTAGGCTATTGTATTAATAAAAATCGCGTTTAGTTTATGTGTGTGTGCAGCGCAATCTGCGATCTCCGACCTCTCTCTCTCTCTGTGTGTGTGTGTGTGTGTGTGTGTGTGGGTGATGTGTGTGTGTGTTTTTGTGCCTGTGTGTGTGTGTGTGTGTGTGTGTGTGTGTGCGCGCGTTTTTGTGACAAATGAGGACATAAATGTGTATAATGACAAAGGTATGACAGGTATTACAAGGAGCAGGTGACTTTTCAGGACATTACCCCATGTCCCCACTTTTCAAAACGCTTATAAATCACACAGAATGGAGTGTTGTGTGTGTGAGTGTGAGTGTGTGTGTGAGTGTGTGTGTGTGTGCAAGAGATGTGTGTGTGTTTTCGTGCATCAATTGAAGCAGCGCATTAATATAGAACAGTGATTAAACTGACTTGGAACTACCTGTGCATTAAACAGTTTTAATGCATACCTGCCAGCCAATCAGAATCCAG